ATGATGATGATGATGATGATGATGATGATGATGATGATGATGATGATGATGATGATGATGATGATGATGATGATGATACTACTGCTGCTGCTGCTGATGAGGAGGAGGAGGAGGAGGGAGGAGGAGGAGGAGGAGGAGGAGGAGGAGGAGGCGACGGCACGACGTCACGCCGCGCACATCCCCGCGGGGGGGTCGGCCGATTGGCAGGGACTCGGCCGTGAGGATCTGCTCCATGGCGCCGGGCTGGGCTGGTGCCAGAGCACGCTCGCCTGCAGTGTTTTCGACTAGACGTAAAAGTGACCCCTTAACTGAGTGACTTTTGGTGCGGGCCCAATGGGGTCCCTCGATCGCCGAACGCGAAGCGGTAGCAGCGGCTTGCGCGCCTGGGTTTGGCCACCCAGCGTCCCCCGTTGAGCTGCGCACCAAAGGTCGCTCTTGCCTACGTAGGATCACTCTTGCGCGAAGCCGAGCGTTCACCCGTGCCCTGCCCGCCCTCGTCCTTTCGGCTCGCGGTCTCGTGCTGCTGCTTCGGCGGGGAGCTGCACCGAGCGAGGGGGTTCGCGAGGAGGAGAGGGAAGGCCGATGGGGAGGAGAGGGAGGAGGGGGGGAGGGGGGCGAGGAGGAGGGAGGAGGGGAGGGTGGCGAGGACGAAGGGGGGGGGAGAGGGGGGGAGGAGGGGACGACGAGGAGGGTGGCGAGGACGAGGGGGAGGGGATGGGGGGCGAGGAGGCAGGGAGGGAGGTGGGACCAAGGTGAGACGGAGGGTTCGGGGGCACCATAGGAGGGGGCTTGGGACTGACCCACGAGGGCCAGGAGGCGGAGGAGGAGGAGGAGGAGTAGGAGTAGGAGGACGCCGAGGAGGAGGAGGAGGCGGATGAAGAGGAGGAGGGATGATGACGATGCTGCTGCTGCTGCTGCTGCTGCTGATGATGATGATGATGATGATGCTGATGATGATGATGATGATGATGATGATGATGATGATGATGATGATGATGATGATGATGATGATGGATGCTGATGATGATGATGATGATGCTTGATGCTGCTGCTGATGCTGATGCTGATGGCTGAGGCTGATGTTTGCTGCTGATGATTTTGCTAATTGATGCCGCTGGATGCTGCCGATGATGATGATCTGAGGCTGATGGTGATGCGATCTGATGATGATTGATGATGCTGATTCTGTGATGATGATGATGAATGCGATGCTGCTGATGTGATGATGATGATGATGATGATGATGATGATGATGATGATGATGATGATGATGATGATGATGCTGATACAGTTGACGATGCTGATGATGCGGCTGCTGCTGATGATGCTGACGCTTATGGTGGTGATGATGCTGATTATGATGATGCTGATGCTGATCATGAGGATGCTGCTGGTGATGATGATACTGATGGTGATGATGGTGGTGCTGGTGGTGCTGATTACGATGCTGGTGATGGTGATGAAGATGCTGCTGATGCTGCTGATGGTGATGATGCTGATGCTGATGCTGATGCTGATGCTGATGGTGGTGGCGATGGTGATGATGCTGGTGATGGTAGTGGTGCTGCTGATGATTATGCAGGTGATAATGCTGATGATGATGGTGATGATGCTGATGATGATGTTGATGATGGTGATGCTGATGATGATGATGATGATGATGATGATGATGATGATGATGATGCTGATGATGATGCTGATAATGCTGATGATGATGCTGATGCTGATGCTACTGCGCTGATGCTGATCCTGATGCCTGGCGCCAGACGGCGCGCGAGCAAGGTGATACAGAGCGTTACGACGTCAAGTTGCGGCGCTTCCCGGTGTTCGGTCACCATGATTTCGCTGCCGACTCCCACGATGCCCTGCCCTCACATGTTTGGTGCAGGTATGCAGACATCGCGTCCAGTTCCGGGAGCCTTGGGCGGCGACATTGAAATCAGCGTTTCTTGCATTCGGTCCGCATCTGGACCGCATTTGGCCATTTCTCCTGCTCCTCCTCGCCCTTCCTGCTCCTCCTTCCCCCCCTCGACCTTCTTGTCTCCCTGTGACGGGGCGAATCCGGTCCAGAGCCGATCCCATTCCAGCCCCAACGTGTGCTCCAAGTCCAGTCCCCATGAAGCCCAAATCGGGCAGCGCTGGGGGCCACGGGGGCTCCCATGAGGATCGCTGGTCCTCAGGACGTGTGTTAGCTCAGTCCAACCAGTGGATCATGACATCGCTTTCGTCATATGGAAGGGCCGCAATGGGCAAACACACGTTGGCGCTAGCGCATGTTCTGAGGATCATCGACTGGAGCAGGCACCGAAGGCCTCGAGCCCCGAACGTCGGGGGCGCGAGCTCGCGGAGATGCCGCCGCGCGCCTTTTTGGGGGGTTTCTTCGGAGGAGGGAAAGGTGCCCATACATCCTCCTCCTCCTCCTCCTGCTCCTGCTCCTGCTCCTGCTCCTTCTCCTTCTCCTGCTGCTCCTCCTCCTCCTCCTCCTCCTCCTCCTCCTCCTCCTCCTCCTCCTCCTCCCTCTATCCCTTCGCTCGTTTTCCCCTTCCAGGGCCTCCTTGGAGGCCCTCGTCGCCAGCGCTGGATTCTCCTCGAGATCGTGGTCAGAACGCGCCCCGCGAGAGGTCTGGGGGGTAGTGGTATGGATACCTTTTGGTGTCCCCAGTTCTGGGCCATGCATTTGGTCTCTGGCGGTCGGTCTGGCTGAGGAGGAGGAGGAGGAGGAGGAGAAGGAGGAGGAGGGGGAGCAGGAGCAAAGGAGCAGGAGGAGGAGGAGGAGGAGGGAGAGGAGGAGGATCGGGATGGCTTCCACCAGCTGCGCCTCGTCGAGGGCGTTCCTGGGGTGCCTGGCCTCGTCCCGAACGACCGTCGGAGGCTTGGGTCATGGCCCGAATCAGTCAGCCTGATCTCCGGAGCCACGTGGAGCCTCCTCCTCCTCCTCCTCCTTCTCCTTCTTCTCCTCCTCCTCCTTCTCCTCCTCCTCCATCCTCCAGCTCATCTGGGTCGGGAAGCCACTTCATGGCCCGCCTGAGTGCGCGACATGGCGCTGGCTGACCCAGGCCAGACCTGACCCGGGCCAGACCTCCATCCACAGAGGCCCCGCACAGGAACCCCTCATCCTGCCGAAAAAAATCGAACGCCCGAGGTTGGCAGACGTCCGCGGCCCGACATTTGGCCGCCCAGGCCAGACGTGGTTTTCGGATCGTGACTCGGTTCTCCAGTGGCCGTTGGGGATGATCCAGGTACCCCCAGAACGCTATCGGCGAGGTGCAGCCGCTGAAATCGGCGGCGAGCGAGGGGGGGGAGTGAGAAAGGGCGGGCCTTCTCAGAAGGCTCGGAAGTCCCCCAGACTTCTGAGAAGTCTCCTGAACCTTCTCCAAAGACAGAGACCTTTCTCAGAAGGCGCGAGGGCTTTGAGAAGTCCCGCCGCCTTCTGAGAAGGCCTTCTCCTTCTCATTCCCTCCCCAGGGCTCGCCGCCGCTGAGAGGCCTCCCGAGGCCTGGACATCGCCGAGAAGCTGCGAGAACGCCCGAAAACCTCGGGGCGCTCGGCTCCCGAGCGCACGGCCCGTGCGCGGCCATGTGCTGCGATGCCCGGGTGGCCCGTCGGAACTCCGGCGGGAACTCCTCCTCCTCCTCCTCCGCCTCCTCCCTCCACCTCCTCCTCCTCCGTAGCCATTTTGGCTCAAGGCCAAAATGGTGTTCATTTCACTGCCGATCTGGGGTAGGCTCCCACAGCTTTCAGTGCTCTTCGTATCTGCAGCCGCACTCACGGGCGAGCTGCCGCCCACCGCAGCTACACTCAGGGGCGAGCTGCCTCCCAGTCCATATTCCTCCCTTGCGTGGCTCGCGGGAGCTCCCTGGGAAGCAGTGGGACGATGGCCGCCGCAGACCGCGGTGGAGGGACCGCCCCTGCCGACGGAGGAGCTGCCGCCAATGGCGGCACCAGGCCGCGACGTGCACGCCCTGAAGGTGGACGAGGCTCGCCAGCAAGGTTCGCTGGCCAGTACACGGTCTGCAAGCAGTGCCGATACCGATGGACGTGGAAGGGGAAGTCCGAGTGCTTCCACTGTGGCAAGCAGCTGGCCCCATCACCGGCCGAGCACCGCCAGCCCACAGGGGCGTGGGCAGGAGCCAGCAAACCACCGCCGTGGAAGGAGCAGCCAGTGGCCGCCGCCCTGTCCAGGGACGCCATCCTCGCCACGCTCAGCACGCTCCTCAGCGACACCAAGCACGCCGAACTCGTCGGCAACCTCAAGGACGCCCTCCAGCAGCCCGACAAGCCGCAGCCTGCCCGCACAGCAGAGCAGATGCTCCAGTCGGCGCTGTCAGTCCTCACAGACAGGGAGAAGAAGTTCAAGCAGTCGGTCGACGACGTCGAGGCCGCCAAGCAGTGGTACGACGACGCCGTGGCCAAACAGGAGCAAGCTGCCCTGGACCTCGTCCAGGCACAGAACGCATGCGCCAAGGCGCAAGCGGACCACAGCGCCAAGCTTGCTGGAGCTGCACGCGGAGCACCACCAGTGGGACTTCAGGAAGCCTTCAATATCGACAGCTCTATGTGGGACGACCTCTCCATCTACGACGAGGGCACCCGCGCCAAGAGCTCGACCAGCGCGTGGCCGAGCTCAACAATGGCCAAGAACAAGTACGCGAACTCCTACGCCAAGCCAAGGAGTCCACCACCAACCCTGCGAAGCGAAAGAAGCCGTGTGGGGAGGAACCAGCTGCTCAGCAACCTCATCCTGAGCCTGCTCCCGCTTCACCAGAGGAACAGCAGCCAGCGGCCGCGCCTGAAGGACACGTACAACCTGGCGCGCCAGCACTGCCGCCCCTCCTGCTGAGCCACGCCAGCCTGGAGGGGCCCCTGGGCCCGCAGCAGCCGCCCCTGCCGCCGACGAGCCCTCCGCGGAGGACCGCAAGGCCGCCGCCGAGCTCATCGCCACCACCACCAGGGCTTGGGAGCTGGCCCACGCAGCTAAGGGTTTGGGCAAGGGCGCCACCATGGCGCCAGCGGCAGCGGCAGGAGCCCCACCGTCGCTGGGGTAGCCGCAAGCGGCCGCAGCGGCCGAGGGGGCCTGGGAACCGCGCCAGTGGGCCCCCCACGGCAGGTGCACCCGCCCCTAAGCCCGAGCAGGCAGCGCAGATCTTTTTCGGCAACTTAACGGCGTGGGGCCTGCAGGCCGCCAACTTCTGTCGCAACGCAGGCTTCAAGTACCACCTCATAGCGCTGGCGGAGACGCACGTCGACGCGAACGGCATCACGGAGCAGAGTGGCAAGCTCGCCATGGGCGACTGGAAGCTGTCGGCCACGCCCGCGGTGGCCACCAACAAATCGGACAAGGGGACCCGTGGCGGCGAGTGGGTCCTCACGCGCAGGGACGTGGCGGCGACCACGTTCGAGGGCTACAGGGACTACTACGTAAAGCGCCACAAGAGGCAGCCGTTCGTGGGCTTCACGCCGACAGTCCTCCACTCCAAGAGCGGCGACATAGTCGTCCTGGCGGCGTGCCTGCGCCTTGGCCTACGGGACCAAGGCGCGAACAGGGACATCCTGGTCTCCATCTCCACCTTCGTGGACATGCTCATGGACCCGTGGATCATCCTGGCCGACTGGAACTACGAGCCGCACTGGTGGGGCGACAAGCCGTGGCTCACGCGATGGAACGGCACCGTCCTCACCGACCCGAGCTGCGAGGCGACGTGCGACAAGGGCTCGGGTTCCGTGTACGATTGCGCGATCGTACGAGCGGACATCGCCACGCACGTCGGGATCGAGGCCATATACGACGCCCCCTGGAAGACCCACTGCGGCATCCAGGTTGCGGTGGGCACCGCCGAGCCGTGGCAGTACAAAGCTACAACGGTTCCCAAAGCCCTCCCCGCACGAGCCAGACCCAAGAAGGTCGCGGACCCGAGCAGCAAAAGGTCCAAGGCTCGCGCGGAGGCGTTGCGAACCAGGAGGGAAAGGCTACCAGAGCACTTGCGCGACGAGTTCGACGCCCTCTACATCAACCGCGAGACGGCCAACCAGGACCCCGCCCCCTTCGTCATCCCCCAGCAGAACTGGGACGCGGCCGCCAACGAGGTCAGAAACTTCCCGAAGTTCGATGGCGCAAAGGTCGGCACCAAGGAGGGCAGAGGACACATCTTCCACAACCACGCGCCGAACCTCGCGGAGAACATCAACCCGAAGCACGCGCAGTGGATCGCGACCCTGGAGCTCGCCGTCCTGGAGACGCACGCGGTCCCCGGCGAGGACAGGGCCAGGTACCAGGGCAGGGCAGAGGGGTGCAGGACCACCAAGCAGACGATGAAGGCGTCGCCTGGCAGAGCGTACCTCAAGGACCCCGAGGCTACATGCTGGCAGCACCTCAGCACCCTCGTGGCGAGGTACACCGCGCTGGTCACCAACGGCAAGGGCCCCAAAGCCCGCCAGCACATCCACAAGACAGTCATGAAAAAAGCTGGACGACCTAGAGAACCCTGAGTTCTCCAAGGAGCACTTCGGCAGGATAACCGACCCGCAGGAGATCGAAGAGTGGAAGACCCAGCTCGTCACCCTCGAGTACTGCGACGTGGCTGACTTGCACCGCATCAGCGCCACCACCATGGAGTGGACCCACAAAGCTATGGCGAGAGCTGCAGGCAGAGCGCGAAAACGGTATCTCGACTGGGCGAAGCAGGCGTGGAAGGACTCACCAGTCAAGCTGCACCGCATGGTCACCGACCACAAGACGCCGCGCCTCGAGGGCAAGCAGCCTCAGAGAACGGTGGGCGACCCATCCACGCTCATGAACCGCTCTGCCGGCACTTGGCGATCCACCTGGGCGTCCGACAGCTACAACGCCAAGCAGATCATCAGCGCATGCGAGAAGGCCATGCGGCTCGCGAAGGAGGACCACCTCCCGCTGATCGAGCCGCAGCACATACAGGCCATAGTGGGCACTGCCAATCCGAAGAAGGCGAGAGGAGTCGACAACATCGGCCCTATCGACATCCAGAGGCTCCCCGAGAAGGGGATCCAGGAACTCGCCGAGATCTACAACCAGGTGGAGGCCAACGGACTGTGGCCTCAGCAGCTCTGCGCCACCATTGGGGCCATGGCCCCCAAGCCCGCAGGTGGAGAGAGAATCCTGGGCATGCTCCCCACAATCCCCATGGCGTGGGCCAAGGTCCGCTCTAGTGTCACTGACGAGTGGTCCAAGGGGCGCGGGGAGTTCTGGGGCACCGCCATCAAAGGCTCCAGCGCCTTAAGGGCAGCGCTAGTCAGGGCGCTCCTTGACGAGACGGCGGCGACCCTTGGCATTGCTTTCGCGACCTTGCTGATGGACGTAGAGAAGTTCTACGACTCGGACGCTGCGCGGCCCTCTTCGACGCCGCGATCGGGGTCAACTTCCCCCCGGTTGTCGCGGCGCTGGAGGTGCAGCTCTACCTTGCGCCCAGGTGCTTGCGGATGCACGGCTGGGTCAGCGACATCATAGACGCCGAGAGGTCCATAGTCGCGGGCAGCTGCAATGGCGGCAAGCTCGTCAAGGTCTACCTGGGGCCGATCCTGCAGAGGGCCCACACCAACAACACGTGCGCTGGCCTGTGGACGTTCGTGGACGACACTGTCGCGAGAACAGAGGGCCAAACCAAGCAGGTCATTAGGGATCTCATCGGGGTTGGCGCCGACCTATTCGAAGGCATGACGGGAGTGGGGCTCCGAGTCGCCCCCAGGGCCACCGTCGTCGCCTCCAGCCAGACGATCGCCTACGCAGTGCACGACGGCCTCAAGAAGAAGGGCCACCACGTCAAGGTGGCCAACAGCGCGGTCGACCTCGGCATCGACGTGGGAGGCGCCAAGAGACGGGTTGTCGTCAAGGCAATCAAGAGAGCCAGAACTGCGAGGAGGCGCACTCACCGCATCATCGCCAAGGTCAGGAAGCACGCCTCCCTCGCCAAGATTGCGAAGGGCTTGTGGAACACGGGATCCAGGCCACAGGGGACCCACGGCCACCAGATCATGGGCCTCGCCCCAGCGGCCGTCCTCGACCAGAGGCGCCAGGCCGTCCAGGCTCCGGCGGGGAAGGTCCCTGGCCGTTGTTTCTCCACAGCCCTCGCCGTCGTCATGGGGAAGAAGGACCCCGCCATCGAGCTCAGGCGCCAGTCGATCGCCGAGTGGCTCAACTTCTGGATGCAGTTCCCAGAACACCATAGGCGGGCCACGTTGGCGTGGAAGCTGATCTACGACAAGTCGATCAAGCGCGGCAACACGAAGTGGAGGAAGGTCAAGGGGCCCATTTCCGCCATCCAGGCCATCCTCCTGGACGCAGGCTGGACCTGCCCGACGCCAACGGAGTGGTCGCGACCGCCGTGGGCAGGCGAGACCTACACCCAGGAGTGGCAGCTACCCCACAGTGGACAAGCCGACTGGGGGGACAAGCGCTATGACGTGTACCCTGCGGAGCTCGCCCACGAGTTCTGCCTGTCCCTTGAGGGGGGCCTCTGGAGGGATGCTGCCAAACATCCACATGGAGAAGGATTGCAACGGGGGGGGCTAGACGTCCGCATAGTTGCCAACGAGATGGAGAGGTTCACGAGGAAGGGCCAGTACGACCAGGCGGCCCTCAACCTCTGCGTGGTCGCGGGGGCGCAATGGCCCAGAAGCCGACTCATCGACGCGGGGTGCAACGCTACTCCAACTTGTCCGAGGTGCGGCGGGGCCGACGAGACGCTCATGCACAGGGTCTGGCTGTGCCCCTGCAACCGCGACCACGAGGACTACACGGATTCTGACGCCCTCATGCCCTCTGCCCTGGCTGGAGCAGAGGCTGCCTCCGCATGCTGGCTCCGCGGCCTGCCTGCGTGCGCTGACACGCACCCGCTCTTTGCCTCATTGGGAAGGGGCGGCGGGTGGGGCTGGGTTGGGCGGGAATGGGGGGATTGTGTCAGCAGCGACGGCACCCTCACTCTCTTCGGGGACGGCTCTGGAGGTCAGTACAGTGATGACCCACGACGCCGAAGAGTGGGGACCGCCTGTGCTGCTATGAAGTGCCTCTTCGGGGAGGCATCATTTCAGGCCTCGAGGGCCCCTTTCAGACTGTGCCTCGTGCTGAGCTGCTGGGTTTCGCGCTCGCCCTAGAACGCTGGGAGGGCGACCTCTGTTTTATCACAGACCACCTCCCGTTACATGACGGATGTCGGTCGGACCGACACTTGCGCCCCCGCGATGGCGCAAATCAGGATTTGTGGGTGCGTATTGCCAAAGCAATGCGCGCGCGTGGCACTAGGCAGCTTTCTGTAATCTGGGGGGCCCCGCACAGCGAGGAGTCACCTGGCCTTGCCTCGGACCCTGTGCGATACTTTCACACTATCGGTAACGCGACGGCCGATGCATGGGCAGGGGTAGCGGCCCAACAGTCCTACGAGGCTGCGCTCGTAGGACAGGCCACTCCCACAGACCTGCGCGATGCCCAGCGCACCCTCATCCGCAGGAGGGCGCGCCGAGCCCTAGCTGACACGCTTGCAGTCGACCCCATGGGTGGCGGAGCGACCCTCGCAGGCCAAAGGCCCGCGCCTCACCAAGCTGCAGCTAGCCATGCAATCGAGCCAGCACGCCTTTGAGCTCAGAGCGGGCAAGTACCTCTGTTCTCGGTGCGGGCTCACCACTGACAAGTGTAAAGTACGCCAGGCCTGTGCCACGCCGTGCACCCACCAGCCGCCCCTTCCGTCTGCCAGTGACCAGATAGTGCCAGTACAGGGCACCATCACAATTGCTGGCCGTGAGCTGCACGCCAGCCACAAGCTTCATTTCATGCAGAAGTACCGCCTGTACTTCTGCCGCGGGTGCGGTAAGACGGCTACTGAGGACCCACCCCACCTTGCCGCACCTTGCGCAGGTATCACCAAGAAAGGGCGAGAGAACCTCGCCAAGATTGACGAGGGTGAATTCACTCGCGCCCACGCGGGGCGCGATGGCCTCACCAAATTCCTGCTCGCAGCTACCCACGGCATGGCCGTGGAAGAAATATCAGCTCCCGCCGCGCCTGCCGCAGCATGCGCCGCTCAGGGCTAGAATGCGTTTGGCATCGCCCGAACCTCGCACCTGGGTGCGCTCGGTCTGTTCCTCTGTTCCTCCTCCTCCTCCTTCTCCTCCTCCTCCTCCTTCAGGCAGGGGTCGATGCAAGCGGGGTCGGCCAGAGCGCCGAGTCCTGCCTCATCCTGCAGAGCCAGGGGCGCGCCGACCCAGGGGGGCAGGCGCGGGATCCTGCAGGATCCTGCAGGATCTTGCGTCAAGTCGGGCCTTTCCCTCTACAGGAGGAATTTTCAAAAATAGTCAAAGAATCGCATTCCTTGGGTATGTTGCATTTTTCGTCCAAAATCCGCCTGTAGGGGGGGCATGCCCGACCTAAATCTTGCAGGATCCTGCAGTGCCTGACTGACCTGGGCTTGCATTTATCCTTGACAGTGGATCCCCGGACCCCAGAAGGTGCACAGAGTGGATTTTGTTTCTTTGCGTTTCGCGTCGCAGTTCTCCTCCTGTCCTCAGCATCTTTGAGCCCGTCCCCGTGCCCATCCCCATGCCCATCCAGATCCCCAACTGGTAGGCCTCCAATCAGAAATCGGATCCCGCATCGCAATCGCAGGTCGAATCGACTCGAAACCGGAAGTCATCGAGACCTAGTCGAATCGACTTGAGGGAAACGCAACCAGCCCTGTCCCTGCCCAGGCGGTGCTCGCCGCGCTTGGGTGGTCCGGCGGCTCGGCGTCCGCCCGCGCGGAGGAGCCCCCCCCCCGCGCCGCGCCCGCCAGCCGTCGGGCGCCGGCGCCGCTCGCGGCTCGCCGCTCGCGGCTCGCGGCTCGCCGCCGCCGCCGCCGCCGCCGCCGCCGCCGCCGCCGCCGCCGCCGCCGCCGTCGTCGTCGTCGTCGTCGTCGTCGTCGTCGTCGTCGTCGTCGTCGTCGTCGTCGTCGTCGTCGTCGTCGTCGTCGTCGTCGTCGTCGTCGTCCTTCCGTGCATCCGCGCGCGTCCCGCTTGGGGCCTGTTTGATGTTTGGTGGATCCCTCCTCTCCACCTGTCTCATCTGGCCTCCGGCTCCAGGATACAGCGGGAGAAGCCTGGTCTTTACCTTCTCACCTGAGCTGCTTCCGAGGGGGACGGGGCGGGTACAGGACGAGATCATGCCGAGGAGGGCTATCCTCCCGGGTGCCCTCTGGCCGCTGTCCCTGCAGCGCCCAGTCTTCGCTCACAGTGGCTGCCATTCATCCCCTTCTCCCCCCTCCCGCTTCCTCCCTCCCCTGTCCTGCCTCCTCCTTCCTCGAGGCATCTCCTCCTCTTCCTCGTCCTCGTCCTCGCCGCCGTGCAGGCCCACCCGCGTCAGGGGCCGGTGGGCTCGCACACGGCGCCACCCCTCCCTTGCCTCGCCGCCCGCACAGGAGCAGAAGAAGCTGAAGAGGCTCCTGATCAACTCCGGGCGGCCGAGCATGCCCCGCCCTTGTGCTTGAGGGGGGGATCTCGAAGAAGAGAAAACGTTATAAACATAGACTTTAAGTGCTCCGCGCGGACTTCTTGGATTTTCGCTGGGCCCCCGCCCCCTCCTAGGCGGCGCCTCCGGCGCTGCCCCTGGCGCGCCTCGCGCGCCAGGGAGGGGGGTCCAGCGCAAAACTAACAAATCCGCGCCGAGCGCTTATTATCATTATTATTATTACTATTCGTATTACTACTACTTCTATTATTATTACTATTATTATTATCATTATTATTATTATTATTATTATTATCATTATTATTTATTATTATTATTATTATTATTACTATTATTATTATTATTATTTTTATTATTATTCGTATTGTTCGTATTATTCGTATTATTATTCTTATTGTTTTTATGATATCTATATAAATCCTCTTCCAGGATCGAAGGATTGGATGGATGGATGCATTATCGGTGTATGGACTCCGTGTATGACACTAGATGAGCGTATGGGCGCGCCAGAAGTACCGCAGCGGTCGAGCCAGCACACAGGCCTGGGTCTGACCCGAAGGGCAAGCGCAGCACGTGGTACGACCCGCCCAGAAGACGGCACCATGGGAGAACGCGGCGAGGCAGCATCCGGGTCTGCGACGAAGCAGGGACTAGGATATGATAACTTGCGGCACGTCGTGTCACGTCGTGGCCTCTTACAAGCCTCTTGGGGCTCTCGGGAGGCCTCTCGGGGGCCTCTTGCGGGCCTCCTGGGGGCTCCTCCTGGGCCTCATGGGGGCCTTCTGGGCACCTCTTGGAGATCTCTTGGTGGCCTCTTGGAGCTCTCTTGGGTGCCCGGGGGCCTGTTGGGTGCCCGCTGGCGGGCTCAGGGGCCACCTGGGACAGCCACTCGCGGCTCGAGCCCAGTGCGTGTTGAGCCGGGAGTTCGGTGATCGTCTATCGGCCGCGCGCTGCGTGCCAGCAGCGCGCCCAACTCTGCGCTGCCTGGCAGCCGCGGGCGGCGCCCGATCTCGCCCCCTCAGGGTCGAGGAGGAGGAGGAGGAGGGGGAGGAGGAGGAGGAGGAGGAGGAGGAGGAGGAGGAGGAGGAGGAGCAGGAGGAGCAGGAGGAGGAGAGGGAGGGGGGAGGGGGGGGGGTAGGAAAGGGAAGGGGAGGAGCGCAGCCGTTTGTTGGCTCGAGGTGGCCGCCCCCCCCGGCGTCACAGCAGCCCCGCCGCCCCTGCCGCGGCCTCCGAGCCGCCTCCGCCGGGGCCCCCCTCGTCGCGGCCGCGGTTGCTCGAAGAGCAGACGGCGGCAGGCGCGCAGACTTCCCGAGGGCTGCGCGGACCCAGACCTTTGACGATCGAGGGGTCTGTCATCGGGCCCCAGGACCCCATCAAGAGGAGTTACGGGGCGAAGGACTGGCCGCAGGTGAGGGGTCCGGACCTCTGGGGCCGCGTATTCAAAAAATCAAATCGTCGGGTGCCTGGGGGGTCTCGGGCCCCCTTTCCCCCCTGGTGCGCGAGGCGCGCCCGCCGCCCAAGAACTCCGCGTGGGTCTCCGAACTCTTATGCTGACGCCGAAAAATGGAGGGCCGCGCGACCGAGCTCTCTTTTTTTTGTGGCCACGCGTGAGCGCTGCTGCTTGCTGATGGTCTTGGGATGCAATGTCCTGGGCGATTGTGCACCCCTCACGTCTGGCAAGCAAACTTCCGGGCCACAGTGAACTCCTTTGCTGCTAATCTACAGCCCGCCAGGGTCCGGTCAAAATCGGTTCCCACAGCCCCCCCATGGGGTCCATGCTGTCGGGTTTATTTTGTTGTTCCCAGAGCGATCTCCGAGCGTCCTGGGGCCTAGGGTCGAGTCCTCGACTAGATCCTCGAGGAGAGGAGCAGGCGGTCCAAAAGTCGAACTGGGGGGCCAGAATCTCGAGAGGAGCTCGTTTCTGACGTCCCTAGGCCCGAAAGAGGCGCCCCCGCGGAGGTGGAAAGGCACAGGAAAGGCCGATGGGATCCAGGAATCAGGCAGGATGCGATGATACATTTTGCCAGAGCGTCCGCAGGAGGAGGAGGAGGAGGAGAATCCTCCTGGAGTATGCTGGATCGCTCCGTGACGATCGCGGCGCCCGAAACATCCGCCAGACCCGCCGACTCCCTCACCCGAATGCTTCCTCGTCTTGCCCTCGTCTCTTCACGAACGAAATGGGCACGGAAAGAATGGGTACAATGCCCAACAGCGGATCCTGTTCGTTTTGAACAGGACTCGCCGTCCACGCCGCCGCGGCTTGTGTCCATTCGAGACAGAAGGTCGCCTGCCCAACAGCGGTCGCTGTTGGTTTGGGACAGCATTTGTTGTTGGGCATTGTACCCATTCTTTCCGTACCCATGCCGGGCGTCCAAATCGTCTTGACTCGAGGTCTGGGCCAGCCGGGGGCGCGGCCGCAGTCCCCGTGAGGGCTCGACGACCTCTCTGTGATCGACCTGCGGGGGCCAGGCCAGACAAATCAGGGTACTTCCTTCGCGTTGACCCAAAAGGGGGTCCAGCGACAAGGGGGTGGTGCAAGAGGTTTGGTGCAACAGATCTGCGGGGTTGCAATACTTTTGGGGCGTGCAGTACAATTCGGGGCGCAAGCTTTTTGCTGGATCGTGCAATACAGTAGCTTTAATACAATGCAACACAATTCTCCGGCGCAATGCATTTGCAATCCAATTGCCCCAGATCTATTGCACCACCCCTTTTTCAGCTGGACCCCCCTTTGGGTCACCCCGAAATCGGTCTCAACAGCCGATCACCATTCGTACGAAGACCTCCCGGGGGTTGCTTCCCGTCGGTGCGAAAACGCGCGCAACGCCGGGATCTCTGGGTCCTCCAAGGCGCGGCAGTGAAGGGGCGTCTCGGAGGCGCTGCTCGTAAGAGTGACCTTCCACCAGAGTGACCGTCGGTGCGGGCCCACTGGGGGGATCGCCGAATGCGAGGTGAAAGCAGGACCTTGCGCGCCCAGTTGTGTCCCCAAAGGGCCCCCTTTGTCCGCGCACTAGAGGTCACACCCTTAATTACCAAGGGTTGCTCTTACCCTTGGGGTGGACGCGAGGAGGAAAGGGAAGGGGAGGGGAGGGGAGGGGGGGAGGGACAGGGATGAGGAGGAGGAGGAGGAGGCGGAGGCGTAGGCGGAGGCGGAGGCGGACGCGGAGGAGGCGGAGGAGGAGGAGGCGGTTGGAGGCGTTGGAGGAGGAGGAGGAGGAGGAGGAGGAGGCGGAGGCGGACGCGGAGGAGGCGGAGGAGGAGGAGGCGGAGGAGGAGGAGGAGGAGGAGGCGGAGGCGGAGGATGAGGAGGAGGCGGAGGAGGAGGAGGAGGAGGAGGCGGAGGAGGAGGCGCGGCCGTGGCGGGGCGCTTCGGAGGCGCACTGGCCGCGGCGCGGCCAGGACGCACAGCGCCGCACCCATGGCGGTGGCCTGCGCCGTGCCGGCGCGCGCCGTGCGCTTGCGCCTGCAGCAGGCGACCGCCGAGCCGTCCTGGGCGGTGTACCTCCCGACGGCCGCGTGGAGGCCTTCCGCAGGGCTCGTCCGTTTCGATTGCTCCGATTCGGTTCGATTTGCTTTCGTAGGCTCCCGATTCTTCCCCTTCCGATTCGATTCGGCTTCGGGTTCAGATTTGGGCTCCGGTTTCTCCACGGAGGCCTACCAGCCTGCCGATGTCTGCCGATCCAGTTTTTCCCGAGTCGGGCGCCGATTGCCGCTGGTCCACTTCGTTTCGATCGCCTATCCGACTCATCAATTCGATTCTGGGCTCTCTGGCCTCCCGCCCGCCTGCCTCGGGGGCAACGCCAGGGGGGAATTGGCGGTAGTTTCAAGGTTCGACCCTGAGATCTTGGCGTCCCGATTGTTCCGAGCCGGGCGCTCTCGCCTTTGCTCGGGCCCCGGGACCCTCACTGATCGATTCGGCTCGAAGAGTGACGCAGAAGGATAGCGGGGTCTAGGGCTCCAGGCGTGATCGTTTACGTTGTTGCATGTTTTTCGCTACGTCGGATCTCAGGGCAGGTTTTCGGATCTTCGTCGGTGGTTTTCCAGCCTCGGGTGCTCTCAGGCAGCCGCGATTCGCCGACAGCGTTTCGGGGGTGCCCGGTTCGTTGCGAGCGGCCGCCGGAGAGGAGAGTTGTGGCCTGAACGCCAGGGGGCAACTCAAAAGGGGGGTTGGCCCAGTTGGGGAAGCATCGACCCAATCGCCCAGTCATCGTCAATCGAGACTCGATCCTAGACCTCCAGCATCGTGATCAATTTAGTGTTCTGCAAAGATAACTGCATGCACATCAACTTTCGGAGGTCCACGCGGACTTCGAGGATCAGGCGCGAAGCTTTTCCCGATATACTGAGTGGAGTTTTGTTCTCCGAGAACACACTCCTCTCTTCCTCCTCCTCCTCCTCCTTCATCTTCCCTTTCTCCTTTTCCGTACCACTATTACCACTATTACCACTACCACCACTACCACCACCACCATTACCACCACCACCACTACTACTACTACGACTGCTACTACTACGATTATTATTCTTATTACTATTACTACTGCTACTACTACTAATACTACTAGTACTACCACTACAACTATACCAACTCCTGTCACTACCACTGTTACCACTATTACCACTACTACCACCACCACCACTACTACTACTACTACGACTACTACTACTACTACTACAACTACTACTACTAGTTGTAGTAGTAGTAGTAGTAGTAGTAGTAGTAGTAGTCGTAGTAGTAGTAGTAGTAGTAGTAGTAGTAGTAGTAGTAATAGTAGTAGTAGTAGTAGTAGTAGTTGTATTAGTACTACTAACACTATTACTATTCTTAGTGCTACTACTAAAACTACTTCTGTTACTACTACTGCTACTAGCACCACTTCTACCACCACTACCACTACTACCAGTACTACCACTACTGCACTGCTACCTCTACAACTTCTACTTATACTGCCTCTTCAACTGCTACTACCAGTAGTACTACGACCACCACTACCACTATCAGTACCACTACCACTACCACAACCACTACCACTACTACCATCACAACCACTACAACTACAACCACCACCACTACTACTACTACTACTACTACTACTACTGCTACTACTACTACTACTCCTACTACAACTATCAGTGCTACCACTACTACTTCTACTAGTAGTAGTATTAGTCGTATTACTACTACTATTTCTACTACTACTACTACTATTACTACTACGACTACTACTACTACTACTACTACTACTACTACTACTACTACTACTACGGGTACTAAACCTACTACTACTACTATTACTACTACTACTACTACTACTACTTCTACTACAAACATCAGTGCTACTACTAGCACCACTACTACTATTACTACTACTTCTACTACTACTACTACTTCTACTACTACTACTACTACTATCACTACTACTACTACTACTACAACTATTGCCAGTTGTACGCTTCTTATCTGCAGTGGGAGGGGTTGGTTCCGAAGGCGTTGTGGTTCATGCCAATGCACTCCGACCAGCTGCCCTGGGCCACCGCTTTTGTGGCCGCGACCGCGTGGTTGCTGCAATCTGTCTGGCCCATCGCGCCTGTGGCGCCGCCGGTGGAGCCACCGGCGCCGTCGCACGAGCTGGCCTGCTCGTGCGACGAGGAGCTGCGCGAGCTCCTGCAGACGCGCGGGGACCTGGAGTGGTACCGGCTCGCCTGCGTCGCGCTCGCCTGCGCGGGCCTGGTGCTGGGCGTCGCGTCCAGCTGCCTCGCGCTGCTGGCGGCCGGGTGCTGTGGGGCCGGGGGCGGCCGCGCGGCCGCGAAGCCGACCCCTCCGCCAGCCCGGCGGGACGCCCCGGCGGCTGCGGCGACGCCCGCCGTGCTGGCAGCTCTCGCCGCTAGCGAGGTTCGGCGCTGAGGATGGCCATGGCAGGCTTTGGCGGTGCAGAGCGGGCGCTCGCGGTCGAGGAGCCGCAGATCCTGCTGCGGGACGACGCGCACGCGACGCACACGTGGCACCACCTGGTGCTGCTGCGGCGGCTGCGCGAGGCCGTGTGGGTCGCGTGTTTCCCGGACGAAGGGATCGAGAGCATCGACTTGGCTGGGCGGACGCTGCTGACGCTGGCCCCAGGTGCTCGTGTCGGGGACGCCCAGGCGGGCGACGTCAGGATGTGCGACGCGACGTTGCCCGAGCGCCTGGCGTCGCTGCACGCACAGGCGGCACGACTGGCTGCCGTGCTGACTGGAGGTGCGGCCCCGACTGGGGGCACCATCCCCCAGACCAGCTGGCGCGTGGCCGACACCTCAGCGGTCGAGTTCGGCGAGGAGGTGGCGGCCGACGTCGTCGAGGGCATGGCGACGGGGGTGAAGCGAGGTTCAGTCGGGCTGGCGCTGGTGGGCCAGCCGGGGCGCTGGCTGGCCGTCGAGCTCGTGCCGAACAGCGAGATGGGCGCGTGGCTGGTGGACAAGCACTCGGGTGCAGGCCGGGATCCTCGGCTGGCGTCCTCGGCGTCGCACGACGCCGCTGCGGGTGCCCAGCCGCTCGGCCTGGCCATGCAGAACTTCAGGCCCGTCGAGCTCACCAAGATGCCGTCGTGGCCCCACCCGGGGCCACGCGCGGTCGTCGAGCTGCTCCAGGGCATCCACGCGCTGGGGCTCACGACGGCGACGTACCACGTGCACTGGGTCCGCGAGTCCGGGGTGCACGCGGAGAGCGCCGTCGCCTGGGAGCACCGGATGCTGCTGCAGATCCTGGGGCTGGCGGTCGGGTACGACGGGCTCGACCCCACCAACTGCGGCTCGCTGGAGTTGGCGGCCCGGCGGATCGTGATGATCGAGCGGGCGGTGAAGGTCAATCCGAAGTCCCCATGCTTCGACGGCCTGCACAAGATGATCGAGCACAACCAGGACGAGAAGGGGGGAGTGGCGACGCAGCAGTTCACGACCTACTTTGCGCAGCAGGCCGAGGTCGAGGCCCGCATCCTCAAGCAGAACAGGCTGCTCCGGGAGGAGCTCGAGGCCAAGCGGAAGGAGAAGGACAAGAAGAAGCATGGCAAGGACGGCGACAACTAACGCCGTGGTGCGGTCCCGCCGGCGTGGGGTCCCAGCGTCCGGCGGCTCTTTCTCTTCGGGACACGCTACCGTTCCCTGTCCGATTGGCGGGGGCGGAGTCTCCGCTGCCTCGGCAGCCGATCTCGAGGCTGGTGCAGGGCACGTCCTTGCGGGAGCGGCTCCTCGGCGACTACGCCGTGGCCCTCTCCAGCCTGTCTCGGGCGCAGCCGCGACGTCCACTTCTTCATGGGCTTCGTGGCAGTGAACTCGATTTCGATGCGTGCTCGGCCTGGCAGCGCCGGGCCTTGCAGCGCGCCTCCGCGGCCTTGGATCCCGTGCTTCAGGATCTGCCGCTGGAGAGCGAGTCGGCCACGCTGGCCGACATCCTCCACTCAGATGACTTGTACACCTTGACTGGCGGTGCCGCGCTGGGCACCTATGATATCTCTCGACTCCGCGTGGCTCGGGGCGACCTGCAGCCGAAGGAAGTATCTTCCATCACTTCAGCGACGGCTGCCGAGTTCATCCTCGACCCAGCCACCCACATTTTGAAGTCGGACGCCGAGCTGGCCGCCGACGTGGACAGCGGAGCGCTTAGAGGCAAGCCGTACTGGGACCCGGTTCTCAAAGGGTCCCGGCACAACATGATTGAGTTTCTGACGGCCTTGTCGGGCAGCGGTCTGCTCACCTGGCGGCGCCGGGTCCACAGTCGGGTCGGGTGCTTCTTCGTCAAGAAGAAGAACAACATGCCCCGGCTGGTGCTCGACGCGCGGTGGACCGACAAGCTCTGCAAGCGGCCACCACTCTCGCGGCTGGCCGTGCCCAGCGCCCTCGCCCGACTTTCGACTTCGCCGGAGGCCGTGGCGCTCGAGGGGGCTGAGCTGAAGGCTGCCGGCGTCTCGGTGACGCCGGCCGCGGTCGGCGGCGACACCGAGCTGTGCGGGTTCAGCGTGGACCTGACCGACGGGTTCTACCAGTTCAAGTGCGAGACCATGGCCAGCTACTTCGGCCTGGGCTTCGTCAGCACGGCGGCCGAGATCGCCACCGACTTCGGAACGACTCTCACCGAGGTATATGACGAGCGGGCCGGGGGCCCTTCCCAGGTGGACGCTCACGAACGTCTCGAGGCCTGCTTCCTGGGCATGGCCATGGGCTGGAGCTGGGCGCTCTACTTCTGCAACGAGACGATCAGTGACGTGATGCGGCAGGCGCTCGAGCACCACCTGCTGCCGACGACCTTGGTTGGGGACCGTCAGCGGCCCGCGACTTTGCATCCCTTGGCCCCGGCCATGGCCCCGTACGTCGACAATGTCAATATGTTGGCGATGGGGGTTCAGAAAGGTCGCGAGGTGTTCAGCACGGTGCTCCGGCTTCTGGCAGAGCGGGGCCTCGTCCTCCGCGACCACGTCGACGGCGAGCGGGACTTCGAGTTCCTCGGTATGGTCCTTGATGGCGACCGCCGCCGCCTGCGCCACACCGCGCGA